ATTTCCACTGCCTGTTTACCTGCTGGGCAAGCCTGGGGAAGCTTCTAAGAGCAGCGCCGATCAGTTGTGAGGCGGGGAAGGGGAGGGGCTGGAGCGGAGAAGATGGCTCCCGGCTGTTTTCTGGGATGGATTCCTCTCAAGACAGCCACCGAAAATGGCCGCCCTATGGAGGATCGCTGGACTGAGTTTCAAGCCCATAGGAACACATTGAAGGGGTTTCAATGCATTCCTATGGGCTTTTTTGTTTCAGATAGCGACGATTCCGGATAGCGACGATTTTTCCGGAACGGATTATCATCGCTATGCGGGGCACCACTGTATATAACTCTGAGCAGACATAGAAGTCTGTTACTGTGGTTGGTAATTTATTAATTGTGATGATTCAGTACATAGATGGCTGCTTAGCTGCTGTAGATCTAAACTATTCATTTCTATTGTCTTAAATTTGTACACTGACAACCTGATTCTAGACATAATTTTGTTGCTATCTCTGTATTAAATGCCTACGCAAGACACAAATCAACCAAAGAACTGAAAAGTAGCATCACTTTATTCCACAGAGATAGTTTGCAAAAGGGGTAAAAACAGATGGAGCTGGTTGGACAGAATTTTACGAATTTACCCTAGCAGCTCTCACACAAGGATGCTCACATGTGTTGAATTCCCTCCCGCCATTTCTAATTGCAATGCCCTGTGGATCAGGGCACCCTCAAGAAATGTCTGAAGTGTGAGATGGGCTTTTCTTTGGCGAGTGTGCACATGGCAACCATTTGGAAATGGAGTGGCAACAAGTTGCAGTAGCTGTGCTTGCTCAGGGTCTTGCCACTGGATGTCTCCCTTTCCCATTGCAACCTCCGCTTGAAGGAGCTTTTCATGGAAGATAAGGAGTTACAATACAGGAGACTGGCAAGAAGTTAGTTATTTGTAAGTCCTCCTTCTCAGTGCATCCCCTGATGAGTGCTAATGGCATGCTTGTTATATATCATTTCATTAGTGGAGAATGAGACCCACTGTGATTTTGTGAGGCTCCGGGAAATGCTGATTTGTACAAACATGGAAGATTTGAGAGAACAGACGCATATGCGCCACTATGAATTGTACCGGCGCTGCAAATTGGAAGAAATGGGTTTCTGTGACACCGGTCCGGAAAACAAACCTGTCAGGTAATAGAAGGAACTGAGACTTTTCTGTCTTTTCAAAATTAAAAGCATTTAGTAATTCCCTCCTCTGCTACGAATTTTTACTTGTAGCAGGAGGAGGGGGATGTAAATCACGTTTAGACTCTCAGTAGAAACCTTGTGTTTAGAGAGGTGATTGAAAAATGAAATATTATTTTACTTAGTCCACATCTAGTCATCATTCTGAATGGTACATTTGATGAAGTCATCTATAATTCAATGATGCTTAAGAATGGTGTAAACCATATGGCGGCAGTGGGAAGAGGAGCAGGAGCAAAGCAAGTATTAGGAAGCAAATCAGCCGAGAGGTACCTAACTGTCAGTTAAGGCAGCAGATTATTGCAAAGCAAATCTCTTGTGCTGGATGGTGCCCTGTTGCAGTTGGAAAGATGTAGCCTGTGTCATATTTAATTTGAATATGCAGTTCAGGTACCAGAGATGGTGTTAGATGGCATTTTGTTGCCTTTTGTGGCGCATAGCATCGTTGGTGCTACCTCCTGCGAACTGAGGAGGATGGTGAGTGAAGGAGTAATAATGGTTTTGCTGTGAACAGCTTGAGATTGTCCTTGGTTAAAGTAGGATTAAAGTTGTTTAAGTTTTTTTATCCCTGTAGTCCAAAGTAGTCCAAATGAATGGTGTTTTGGGGCCGGGAAGATATATCTAAGATGTTTTCTAATTTCTTTCAGAAATCCTTTTTGGCAGTGCCAGCTCTTCATGCACACTATGCTCTTTTCCTTTTCTTTTGTCTTTGCAACTAATGTAAGTATGTTCTCTATAACCTTTCTCTATCAAGCTTATTTCTTACTGTTCTCCTCCTCCTGTTACTAATTTACTAATACCTGAAACAGAAGTTGTGCTGCTGATAAACCTGAAAATTGGAAAAAGCTGATGCTGTTGTAGAATTGATTGGAATTTCCTGGCACTTCTTTTAGCTTGTCTAGATGTTTACCCTGGGAGAAGTTGTAGTGCTAATAGGAAACTTTGTTCTTTGGGGGCAAGTCTCTTAGTACATATGGTCAGTTTATGGGAAAGATGTTTGAGGGGTTATCTGCTTGAATACCAGACAGTGATAGGATTGCCAGGATTTAGCACAGTTGCTGACAGATGTGTTTCCAGACTGTTCTTAGGACTTAATCTCCTGGGAAGAGATTTCCCAGCTTCCTGAGCAATTTGTGCTGACCTCAGTAGTTCTTAGAACTCAGGATTGTTCATTCATGGTAGCAGTTTGTGTTGTGAATACAGAGCGTAAAGGAGAGGTGCGTATCTTCTGCTTCTCTCTTCACCTTTGACAGTATTGACTACACAATAGATATTGGTGTATACATGTAGCATATAGTTCAGCTCTGCAGTGATGTTTATGCTAGTTATTTTAACCCTATGTTAGTACTAAGTTAAGGTATTAATACACACCTAACCTATCTTGTTATATTACCTACACCTGTTTTTGATGTCTTTCACGATCTATAGGCAAACATGCACAATTGATGCAGGTACAATTTAAAGACACTCAAGATGTAATGAGTTTGCAGAGGACCAGTCTTTCTCTCCATGGTCTTGCCTTTCAGAAATGTTGAATGCAGTGATCAGAACTGTGCAATCTACACATAGTGACTAATTTATTCTTGTCAATGAAGCTAGCTCTGACCCTGTGCTGTTCATTCACCAACGTGGCCCTTTCCTTTTTCATTTCACTTGGCAATGACATTCATCAAATGGCACACAGACTACAAGAGAAAAACAAGCATGGTCTAGAACCATTTGTCTTAGGACAAAGTGGCCAGGTGAGGCATGCCACTCGTTTTCCTGCATGAGAGAGACATTGAATCATAACGCCAGCACATCTGCAAGTTACATCCATTCTACAAGTATATGAGTAACTGGCTTAAGACCCGAATAGCCCTCCAAACGTGTTAGGTTTGTGTCCATAAACAAAGTTCCTGTGACTTAATTTTTAGTTTTAACAAGGTTAAAAAATAAGATAGTTCTAAGGGAATACTTTTACCTGTTTTAAACATTCATTTTGGGTATATAGACAGGAAGTTAATAACTAGTATGGCGAGCATGATCCAGGCTGTTGGCTAAATGTTTTCTTGAGACTGGTGATTCTTTGATCATCTGTATCATAAGGCAGTGACCATTTGCCTAAAATATGTCTGTGACATCCAGCTTCATTGTTTTAAAGAGAAACAACTGCACAGATTAAGAGATGGACATGAGCCAGGAACACAGCGGTTTATAGTTTGATGCTGTTCATGAACCATGAACTTTCCAGCAAAACAAACCGTTTCATGGTTCATGTGATTCAGGACTTCCAGGAGTGGTAGAACAGCCCCTGTGCAAGTTAGATACACCAGACTCACAACAAGTCTTCAGCTGGCTCTCCTCCCTGCTCCCTCCAAGTTTAGTGAATATTGGATTTGGAACGTCCTGAGTTACAGTCCACATCCAAATCACCAGCACCAATAATAGTTCAGCATTTCATTTCATACTGGGCACGCACAGTTCCCCTAGCACCCTAAAACCACGAAATTGCCTGATTTGTGGGGAGATGTTGTTTTGTGCCCATCTCTAGCCAGGAATACATTTGGCATAGAATTCAGTTGCCGAAATGGCTTTTGTAACTTGCTCCAAAGCTGTCTTATGCAAGAAGTTCAATTAGAAGTGAGGTGATAATAAGGTATCTAGGTATCCAGATTTGAAATACGTTCTACTTTTAACTGCTTTTTGAATTTGTCTTGAATATCTCTACCATAAATCTTATATAAATCTTATCTCTACCCCCATTAATAGATATTGAGCTTTCAAAAAATTAAATTGTAAAGTAATAGTATTTAACTACTGAAGTTTCTTTTACAGGCATCTTACTGGTAAACTCAAAATACAGATCCAAAATAGTGCTGGATCTTGTCTGTAATATTTTTCTGTAAACATAATTAAATGAATTTAAGTTTTAGATAATCATACATTCTGGAACTTTAATGGAACCAAATGCTTTATATTCTTGTAAGAATAAAGCTGCAGTTAAGACTATAATGTTATAGCTTGTTTTCTAGGACTAAGCCCCAGTCTGAATTATATTGGGGCTTTATTTTGAATGAACAAATAGATTTGTGCTGTTAGGCTCTTTAGATAGTTAACAGGATTTCATGGATCTACATCTTTGTTTTTAGGGTCCCAGGTAGCAAAAAGACGTCTCATAGAGAAAGGTATGTGGTTTTATAGTGTAGTGTGGTTGAGTTTAAGTCTTAATATATGAATAATTAAAATATTACTTTTTATATTGTAGAAAGTGATAGCATGGCCTTACGTGAACTTATATTGACACGAAACCACTACTGGGATCAATGCATGGATCACCTTAAGTGATGTTTAGATTTCTCTCCACTGTGCACACTCAGCATTTTACAAATATGAGGAGGGACTATCACTCCCTGGTGAAAGAGATGCTTTGCTTATGCCAGGTTTTAAGGATGCTTCCTTTTAAAGGATCACTTAGTAGATTATGTGACAGACCTTGGCCTGAGAAAGTCTCTAGGTGAATAAATGAGCCAACTTGGTACAAAGCAACCCCTTGAGTTCTTAAATTCCAATCAATGTGACATTTTTTCTTCCTTATTTGGAAGAACATTGAATGTTAGCTTTCCTATATCTGATGAGAAATTGATGAGATAAGCATGGAAAAGGACATTATCTTCCTAAGAATACTATCTTTCTCAAAAGATATCTCATTCTGCTGTCTGTTTAACAGTGGAAAGATATATAACTAGCCTTCTAAGCATACGTGCAGATGGGTCTTCAAGGTGGGAAGGAGCTCTAGAGTCTGGGAGCAGCGACAGAGAAGGCCTTCTCCCATGTCCTCCCAAATGGTCCTCGGAGGGTGATTCCCTCTGGAATTACTGTGATATTTTCGTGTTCCTCCTTCCTGTACATGTAAAGAATTTGTCCCCTGATTTTAAAAACAGATCTTTTTAATCTCCCCTTAAAACTGACTAGAAGTGTCCTTCTTTTCTGATACAGTGAGACAGCTTGATATCTTTTGAGCTGTTCTCTGCTACAAAGTGACTTTCCACTAAAGAAACCATTCTGAACCAGGCATGCAATAAATTTGCTGATCTTAGAAGTTTAAAAAAAGTTGAAAGCTGATTCCAGTCTCACTGTAACAAATACAAATAGCAACTGCTAGAGTTTCTCTAACTATTCCACATGGGCATCTTTGAAGGACAAAGGTGCTGTTTCATTAAGAAAACACTTTTATTAGTAAAAACCACCCCCACCCCCGATATTAAGATACCATTATACCACATGTACTTAAGAATAAGACAGAATGCCAGTTTTGCTAGAGATTTTTCCTTTTGTATTCTCGAAGGCTTTCATGGCCGGGATCCAATGGTTGTTGTAGGTTTTTCGGTGTAATTCCACAATAGAATCAAGGAACATGAAAGACACTGCAGACTAAAACAACTGAAAAAATCAGCAGTAGATGAACATGCCCTGAAACAAGCTGGACATGAAATTCTATTTCAAAACACATAAGTACTGGACAACACCAGCAGTCATTATGTTAGAGTACACAGGGATGCCATAGAAATCCACAAACATCAACACAGCTTCAACAAAAAAGAAGAAAGTCTAAAACTCAACAAAGCCTGGCTCTCAGCAGGCTGAAAAATACAGCCTGTAAAACATACTCTATCCAGCCACAAGGACTGGTGATCACTGCAAACAAAAGACTCGCTAACGACACCCATCAATCACAGTGACAGATCATCTCCCCCCTTAACACAACAATACATCCATAACAAAAAGCACCCTGATCACCATAATCAACCAATCTCCTGAAAAGGACAAAAAGCTGATCCCACAGCTATAAATACTCAACTATCCGACACACTACACCAGAACACAGAGTTCTAACTCCTCTCCTCTAAAGATGCTGGCCACAGAGATTGGCGAAACGTTAGGAAGAAAAACCTCCAGAACACGGCCAAACAGCCCGAAAAACCTACAACAACCATTTTTCCTTTTGTTCCGAGCTTAGCTGCTGCATGTCTCCACCTTGTTTCTTTTTTCCTTTTTCCATGGTTTAAACAAAATCAGCTCTTTCTTCTTCAGTATTAGTTCAGGAAGTATTTGGATATATTTAGATTGACTGGGTCTGTTACAGTTCTGCACCTATTCTATTTTAGTGGGACTGATGTCTTCTTGCAGAAACTCAAGGTCAAGAACAACTCATTCACCTTGTTTCTAGCAGAAGCCGCCTGTACAGAGGCTGGCCTGGCCAGCCTGGTTGGCAACTACAAAGTCACGCCTTGGACAACCACTAAATAAATGTTAACCAGATAAATTTCATGGTCTAGGCAGTTATGAGAAGGACACAGCTTCTTCTTGCAGAATGGGGAGGGGCAGGGAGGAAGGCCAAACATTACTGCTGGAATCAGACTTCCATACGTTTGACTTTAGAGAAACATATTTTCCTGCAGGTGAAATAGGTCTCTACAGTATATACAGTATGCAAATTTTAAACAGGATTGGATTTTCTGTAGCATATACCAGATGAATCAATAAGCTGATTGTGGCTCCAAAAGCCATCTACCAGGCTAAATGCTCCTTTGGAGGCTCAAAACCCTGTCAAACTCTTAATACTTCTGTTCTGAATAATTTAATCAGGAGCTGGGGTAAAAGAGCAGGCTGCATGCATTTCTCTCACTGCACATCTGGTGTTGTGTATAATACTAATCTAATCTAAGTGGTCCCCAAAACTTCTGCTTCAAAACAGAGTTGAAAAATCACTGAAATATAAACACTGGTTGCAAAAGTTTTTGTATGCTCTGTCGTTTATCTAGAGTGTCATGCGTCAAACTGTTCAGCTGGATTGTACTGGATTTATACTTTGTTTGTGAAACATTGCATTTTTAGAAGTCTACCATCACATCTACAGGGCTACATTGGGTATCACAAGTTGACATTACCCACTTTGTATTGTGCCTAGAAATACTTGGATTGTTAGTGAAACTTTTTAAAAACAAGAGAGAAACCCATCCAGTCAGCTGTATTTTATCGCCTGAATGACAGCCAGAGAGAGAGTGTGTGTGACTCAAAACTGAAAAAAGGGACTGATTCAGGGAGGGAAAGCTCCAGTTGAGGGAAGGAACGTGCAACTTCATCAAGCTTGTTTACATGTATGTACAAAATGGAGGGAGCGAGGGTGTGTTTGTGTGTGAGAGAGAGAGAGGGAGGGAGAGAGACTGACTCAAAACTGTTAATCTCCACTACATTTAGCTCTGCACTTTCTGCTGAGAATAGCAGAATTATGAAGTGTGTGGCAATCGTGTTTCTCTATTTATCATCCCCTCTATCATCACGCAGGCAACAGTATCACATTTTATTCCCAAAATCTGAATCCCAGTCTTTCTGCTCCTACCTTGACTAGCAACACCAAACAAAAGACTGTGGATTTCTTTATTGTGTCAATTCATCTCATGTGCAGTCTTCCTCTTTTCCTACTGCTTTGCACTTTTTCTTGCATTGCTGCCATTTCCACTGAGCTTGTCTTCCTATGATGGTAGTACAGCACTCTTTGTTTGGTTATTTTAGCTTGTAGTAAAAGTCCACACTTAATTTACTTTCTGACAAGTCATGCTATCTGTAAAACTCTTTTCCAACACTACATTTCAAATAAGTGAAATGTGTGCATACATTTTATGTAGTGTATAAAATGTGTATTAAAAGCCTGCACTCCTATATATAGCTGCTTTTCTGACGGTGGTTTACTTTGGAGGAAACAAGTCCAGAATTTCAATGTACTTAATAAGTTTTATAAATGTTGTTGTTTAGTCGTTAAGTCGTGTCCGACTCTTCATGACCCCATGGACCAGAGCACGCCAGGCCCTCCTGTCTTCCACTGCATCCCAGAGTTGGGTCAGATTCATGTTGGTAGCTTTGATGACACTGTCCATCCATCTCGTCCTCTGACGTCCTCTTCTCCTCTTGCCTTCACACTTTCCCAACACCAGGGTCTTTTCCAGGGAGTCTTCTCTTCTCATGAGATGGCCAAAGTATTGGAGCCTCAGCTTCAAGGTCTATCCTTCCAGTGAGTACTCAGGATTGATTTCCTTCAAAATGGATAGGTTTGTTCTTCTTGCAGTCCAGGGGACTTACAAGAGTCCCCTCCAGCACCACAATTCAAAGGCATCAATTCTTCGGCGGTCAGCCTTCTTTATGGTCCAGCTCTCACTTCCATATATCCCTGCTGGAAAAACCATAGCTTTGACTATGCGGACCTTTGTTGGCAAGGTGATGTCTCTGCTTTTTAAGATGCTGTCTAGGCTTGTCATCACTTTCCTTCCAAGAAGCAGGCGTCTTTTAATTTCATGGCTGCTATCACCATCTGCAGTGATCATGGAGCCCAAGAAAGTAAAATCTGTCACTGCCTCCATATCTTCCCCTTCTATTTGCCAGGATGTGATGGAAGCAGTGGCCATGATCTTGGTTTTTTTAATGGTGAGCTTCAGACCAATTTTTGTGCTCTCTTTCACCTTCATTAAGAGGTTCTTTAATTCTTCCTCACTCTCTGCCATCAGAGTAGTATCATCTGCATATCTGAGGTTGATATTTCTTCCAGTATGTCCATTTCCTCTCATTACATTTAATCTTAATTCTGGCTTAGCAATTTGATCTCTAGTTCCTCTGCCCCTTCGAAATCCAGCTTGTACTTCTGGGAGTTCTCAGTCCACCTTGTAGGATTTTGAGCATAACCTTGCTAGCGTGGGAAATGAGTGCAATTGTACGGTAGTTGGAGCATTCTTTGGCACTGCCCTTCTTTGGGATTGGGATGTAGACTGATCTTTTCCAATCCTCTGGCCACAGCTGAGTTTTCTAAACTTGCTGGCATATTGAATGTAGCACCTTAACAGCGTCATCTTTTAAGATTTTAAATAATTCAACTTGAATGCCATCACCTCCACTGGCCTTGTTGTTAGCCATGCTTTCTAAGGCCCACTTGACTTCACTCTCCAGGATGTCTGGCTCAAGGTCAGCAGCCACACTGTCTGGGTTGTCTGGGTGCTGCATGTGTTGCTCTCAAACTAACAGCATATGGACCAAGGTTTGACAAATTATCAGCATGCATACAACATCAATAAATCACATTGTGCAAAAGCATGCCAAGTTATCAAAAAATACGGGGACGTGGTGGCGCTGTGGGCTAAACCGCAGAAGCCTTTGTGTGCTGCAAGGTCAGAAGACCAGCAGTTGTAAGATTGAATCCACGCGACAAAGTGAGCTCTGTCCCAGCTCCTCGCCAACATAGCAGTTCAAAAGCATGTAAATGCAAGTAGATAAATAGGTACCATCTCAATGGGAAGGTAAACAGTGTTCTGAATCTAAGTCGCGCTGGCCACGTGACAACGGAAACTGTCTTCGGACAAACGCTGGCTCCACGGCTTGGAAACGGGGATGAGCACCGCCCCCTAGAGTCGAACACGACTGACTAAAATGTCAAGGGGAACCTTTACCTTACCTATCAAAAATACATGCATATAATTATTTTAAAAGTTTGTATAAATTACCTGGCTTGTATTACTTTAATATTTGTTTCCATTTACTAGAGCTAATGGTTATTTTTCAATAAAAATGTATTTGTATCATTGAAAGTTCTATTATGTTTTGAAGACAAAAGGTGGTGATTAATTCAGACAACTGTATGAGTTGTTTTTTCTAAACTAAAACATTAGTATTCAGATTTAATTGCAGTGTTGGCACTTTGAAAGAAATAATTTGACTTTGTGTTGCCATTTGGGCACACGGTGGCGCTGGTGGCGCTGAATGTGGTGGCGCTGCGGGCTAAACCGCAGAAGCCTGTGCTGCAGGGTCAGAAGACCAAGCAGTCGTAAGATCGAATCCACGCAACGGAGTGAGCGCCCGTTGCTTGTCCCAGCTCCTGCCAACCTAGCGGTTCGAAAGCATGCAAATACAAGTAGATAAATAGGGACCACCTTGGTGGGAAGGTAACAGCGTTCCGTGTCTAAGTCGCACTGGCCACGTGACCACGGAAGATTGTCTTCAGACAAAACGCTGGCTCTATGGCTTGGAAACGGGGATGAGCACCGCCCCCTAGAGTCGAACACGACTGGACAAAAATTGTCAAGGGGATCCTAACAAAATGATTTGGGCACACGGGCTCAAAAAGGTTAGCTATCACTGGCATAGGGGAAAGAAGACCTATATGTTTGCTATTAAGATTAAGATCAAATTATCTTACGTGTTGACTTTTTAATGATCTGGATGGGCTTGTCTGAAAAGATTGAAGTCTATGCTAGTGTAGAATCTCATAAAAACTGTAAGTAAAAATTGTACATGAGTGGCATAAATCAGTAATTGCATGCTGTGTCCCTTATAAATGATGAAGGCTGTTTATGTTTATGTTTTATGGTCCTCAGTCTGCAGGAGACTTATGAAGCTAAGCGGCATGAATTCCTTGGTGAATCACGGCGCAAAGAAGAAGAGATGAGGCAAATGTTTGAGCAGAGGGTCGAAGAAAAAGAAGCCCTATTTAGAGAGGCAGAGCGAGAGGTCAGATTGTCTCCCTGTTGCATTGATTGTGATCTGGTGTTTGTGATAGTTTGGTTCAATAAATGTGTATTTTAAAAAGAAGGAAGGATGGGCTGACAAGAGTCAGCTAAGAAGAATAATCACATGCACAACTGGCACTTTAGCTGCTGTTTCCAGTCCCAAAGAGACATATCCTTGTTGCAACAAGACCAGCAAGTAGAGCTTCTGTTATCCTGCAGATCCTGCCTACACACATATACATGACCCTTCTTTGGACCCTGACTCAAAGCTGGGAATAAGTCAGAACAAGTGGAGCTTGTAGCAAAATGCAGTGCTGTGCCCTAAGTGTGGTCATTGCTTAGGCTGCTGTGAGTCAATGTGTATAATGCCTTCCTTCTGCTTTTTATCTCAGTGTTTCATCATGAGTGGCAGAGCCTTTCCTTTCCTTTCTCCCTGACAGGGAACATCAGCAAAACGATTGTATGCTGGGGTTATATATGTCCACCCTCTTGAATTTGAGTGGGAATTGTTCATTCCAGTCTGCTACATTTTGAGGGATCTTCAGGGGCATGATTCTCTACTTAATGGCCATTTGTCCACCTTGAAGCAGACAAAGTTGGAAAGAGGAGGAGGGAGGTACTGTGGCTATAAACTGAGCTCTGACAGAACCTCAATTAACTGCTTGCTACCTTTACATATATGTTCACTTCCTGCATATTTTCCAAGTTTCTGCGAGAAAATTGCACATGTATAGTGATAATTTCTTCTGTGTGCCCAATAGCAAGAACAACAACAGCAACAACACATGCCATCAAGTCAAGTGCAACTTGTGGCAATGTTTCCAGGGTTTTCTAGGTATAAAGCACCTTCAGTTGGTGTTCAGAAACCGTGCACCTTGCCCAAGGCTGCACAGATGGAATGATGGATAACACCATTAGCCACACATACTCCAAGTGATCTCAGGTGTCTGTTCTCCTGGAAGACATGCTGGGTGTCTCAACTGCCAGCCTGCGGCTCTGCAGCCAGGGACTCCAACCCACTGAGTTATAACAGCCAGTCTTTATCTTTCTACAAGAGTTTAAAAAGAAAAGAAAAAACAAAATGATGTGTCATATTTCTGTGAATCTGAGAGATTCCCTTTGGTTCTCCATCTTGTTGCCCAGTAATCACATTTTGCTAACAAAATAATGAATATGGATCGCTTGGGTCCAGCATTAGGGAAACTGTGTTCAGAATCTTCTTTGGATGGAGAGCTGTGCCAAGGATGAGCTCCTCTGTAGAGCAGCAATACAATATTGTTATGAATCTGTCTGTTTTCTTGGTGGTTCCATATGCTGTGGTTGGAACCTGTAAACCCATATAGCACATAACACAGCATGTGAGCTCCTTGATAAAGCACATGGAGACAAATACGGTGACTGTTAAACTTTCAATGTCTATTGCTATGAATCATCAAAAGAAATTAAGATTGAAGGAGTTGTAGTATACCCACCAGAAAAAAAGGTTTTCAGCTTTAAAATTGTATGTATAACATTGTTCAAATGACTGACAGTGGTGCCTTGACTTACGAACTTAATCCATCCCAGAAGATGTTCGTAAATCAAAACGTTCATAAGTCAAGTCAGCATTTCCCATAGTTATGCATTGAAACCTGATTAATCCATTCTGGCTGTTTTTTGTTTTTATGTCGAGGCGCGGTTTGTAAGTCGAAGCATTAGTTTCTCTAGGAACTAATGCAAAACTGGTTAATCCGTCCTTTATCATTAGGGGGAGAATTTTTCTTCTTTTAACCTAAGATGAACTTGGGTTTAAAAAAGGGCAGGAAGGGAGGGAGGGAGGGAGAGAACAATAGGGAAAAGAAGAAAGAAAGAAAGAAAGAAAGAAAGAAAGAAAGAAAGAAAGAAAGAAAGAAAGAAGAACTTCACTGGGGCACACAGACCCCTCAGACAAAGGTTTGTGCTTTTAAGCACAAAAAGAGAGAAGACAGAGAGAAGACAATGGGGGGGGAGAGAAAGAGTTAGGAGTCTAAAACACATTTTAAAGCCACCCATGCTAAACCCACACATTTTACAACACATTTTAAACCAAGCAACTTTTAAACAAAAGACATTTTAAAACAAACCAAGCACCTTTTAAACCCACCCACCAACACCTTTTAAAACAAAAGAGAGGTCACTTAGCTTTAGAGGCCAACAGCCAGACAGACCTTTGCAAACAGTTTTCTGATTTTAAAACCAACAGCCAGCACAGAAACATAACCCTACCCACCTGGCCCAACCCCAAGCTGCAAAACCCCTGTAAATACAGTGCACTCACCCAAAACAGGCAATCTCTCTGTTTTAAAAAGGAAAGTCAAAAATCCAAAAATAAAAAAATCAGACTGTACAGTACCAGGCAGTCTGAAGTCTCTCTCTGTATCCACACTCTCTAACTGCTGGGGTGAGCGAGGTAGCAGACAAGCAGCCTCTTCATTGCTCAATGGTTAACTGAAAGTTCAAATTTCCCGCCTTCCCCATGGTTTTTTTCGTTCATAAATTGAAGCTCTGTTCGCAAGTCAAAGCAAAATTTTGTGAACGGAGCTGTTTATAACTCGATATGTTTGTAGGTTGGGATGTTTTCAAGTCAAGGCACCATTGTATACTGCGGACTACTGTTAGAAGCTGAAATGCTATTAACATAGGTTACAATTTAGACATCATGAGGTATTATATAATACACAAAGAAGATTAAAACATGTTTGGAAGATCCCACCTGAAGGGCAAGAGCATGAGATTGCTAGATGAATATGTACTTACAGAACCTGAGCGTGAGCAATGTAGCATTGCAGCACATTTGATCTCTGGTATTGATTACTAGAGGGTCAGTGAATGAACATTATGTAACTGTTGTAGTTATATCTGCCACTCTGAACTTCCTTTAGTTGTAAGCAGCTCTTAGGATTTTATAGCACACTGGATTGGAGACAAGGGGAGAATATGACTAGCATGTTGCATGCAAATGGCACAAATCTCCTATTCCTCATCCCTCATCCAGATGCTATAAGGCTATTTGGTGATCAAACAGTCTGCCATCCCCCAAACCCCCCTAGTCTCCCACTTGAGGACATTGTAAGGGGCTTAAGCAGATCAGTCCTTCACCCTTTTGTTTTTGCCTGTTTTAAAGTTGATATTCCACTGCCTCGACATTTTGTGACTCTTAAGAAGACAGCAAACATTCCTTATCATCAGTTTTTGAACTGGCTTTGTGTATTTGTATGTGATTCTAAAAATGTACACACTGATATTTTTGGCATGTCTTGAAAGTCTTCTGAGCATGCAAAAATTATTCTTTTTTCTGTGGGTGCCTCTGTTTTACTGCGCAGCTGCCTGGGAGAGGAGAATACATTGAAAGCAGCAGTAGCATATATATTTAGCTTTGGGTCTAAAATTTAACCTCCAATTGAAGACTGTTCTTCTTTATCTAGCTAGACTGCTTTTTGAGGCAACTTAGTAGCATATGCGGGTTTATATTATCTCTAAAACTTGTTAAAATCAAGAGCGTTTGTCACCATATATATAATTATATAATACTTTTTTTAAATCAAGAGCGTTTGTCACCATATATATGGTGGATATATATGGAGAATACGCACGCACGCACGCACGCACGCACGCTGCTGCTGCTGCTGCTGCTGCTGCTGCTGCTGCTGCTTTCAGTGTATTCTCCATATATATCCGCCATATATATGGTGACAAATGCTCTTGATTTTAAAAAGTTTTAGAGATAATAATATAAACCTGCACCTAAATTTCCTTCTCAGTGCACACCAAGGAATGGATGGATTGACCTGCATTTGTTCTGCTTGTACAGCACTGACCTGTTTTCTGCTTACTAGGAATTCCGAGGCTGAGTATGAGCTACTAAGAAAACCTCAATGACACTTCCTCTCTCTCTCTCTCTCTCTCTCTCTCTCTCTCTCTCTCTCACATGTAAAAAGAGCTAAATTTAATATTATACATTAGCTTCTAAAAAGTATTTCATTCAGTTGCATATAAAAATAAAGAATACAAAACACAGGCTTCTTAGGAAAATTAGTCTGTATGTGTTACTACGGATGTGATTACAGACGAGGTAGACTAAGTACTCGGCTGCCACCTTTTGGTGGAAATGAAATTTTTGTGCTTAATTTTAGCTACAAGCAAGGATTGAACATTACAAGCGGCTTTATCAAGAAGGTAGGATGAGATTAGAGGAGAAAAGAAAGCTGCTGGAGGATGAAATTATGGCATTTAATAAAAAAAAGACTGCCTCAGACATTCTTCAAGGACGACCTCTGCCCCCTACACCTACTGTTGGCTTAAAAAAAGAGAAGGAACGCAAAAAGTAAGTCACCAGTTCCAGATTCAGATAGGAAAAAACTGTTCAGTCCAGATGAATTTTTTAAGCAGTGTACATTTTTCAAATTGCAATGTATAGCCAGTTGTTCTTGTCTCAAGCTGTTTGAAAATACTCTTGCCAATATTATTAGGCTCTTTGATGAGAACTTTTCTTTCTATGTTTTCTTCCAAAGGGATCCAGGTTTTCGGATTGAGCTCCTGTGTTTTGATGTCAGAGATCAGGAAGCTGTGAATATGCAGGAGGAGAGAGAAAGAGAGAACGTAGAAAGGGACAGACTCCATCACAGGGAAAACCAACATTAGTATTTGGAAGCAGTTTGCAAATATGATGAGGTTAGGGTATGTTAGTTTTTGAAGTTGTAGAAAAAAAGATTCATACAATTACAGTATCTTTAATTCCTACAGCTTTAGGTCCCCTTCCAATTCGTGACTATGGGCTAGGCAGAATAATCCTGAGTGGGGTTTGGGGAGGCAACTCTTGGTTTTAGTTTCCTTTTTGCTCTGATTCATAAGAGGAAACATTCCTATACCAGCTCCTGACTGGCAGAAGCAAGGAGCCTGAATTGGGCCCCTCTCTGGGAATGGAGTTGCTTTGCATTGAGAAATTAAGATGCTGGCCTCAACCTCCTCAGTGGTACCGGCTGCCCTCAAGGGGGAGGCAAAGTCTTCTGCTGTGGTGGACAGGGGCCTCTCCATCAACAGAGAGACGCTGGTATGACATCATATTCCTTTCCAGCTATCAGTATCTGTACAAGAACAGGATTGCACTGTAAATAGCAACATTTTTTTTCTAGTACTGAATTGTTTGTCTAATTCAGGGTGAAATTAGACAGTGCACCAGCTTATATGTAAAAACTGTTCTCAAGTGGTGAAACAAAGTCTGTTATTGCACATGCTTTTCTTCACCACTGTATTTTGCATTCTGGCCTGATTTCTTCATTGACTGGTCACTGGGACGTAAGTACAAGTGGAATTTGTAAATCTGATTCCCCAGCTTGGATACTTGGCCATTCTGAACCTTTGGCCTTCTAGATACTGAGGAAATCACTTTCTAGGAGGAAAATGGAAGCTGATTGCAGGGAAGACATGTGTTCATTAAGGTCTAATTTGACACTGAGCATTGCCGATAGGTCCACAAAAGTAACTAAGTAGCGCCACGAAGAGTCGGACACGACTAAATAACAACAAAGTGCATAGGGCATGTTCCAGAGGCACATGGTAAAGCCTCTGTGATGAAGCTAAACAGGTTTGGATATATATCTAAATCAGAGTGTGCCCTTGAGGTTCGTATATACCGTACATCTTTGAATTCAATGAAGAAAAACAGTTCAATATGAATAAATATAATAAAGAATCATGAAAATAGAATAAATATCTAAACAAAGTAATGTTGAATCATACCTGCTATTGGTGGATACCCACTAATATGGGAATAGGTCCAGTTGAATTCAGTGGGAAAAATTAGAAGTAGGTCTGTGTAAGATTATGTTGTTCAATATATATATAAAATAATGTCATATTTTAATAATATTTATCATTTGACAAATTCAGAAACATTCACAAAGTTAAACTGTGCAAGCTATGCCTAGCAGATTTTATCCATACTTGATTGGTTTATCCTTGTCAGCTGTGATAATTCTGCATTAGAAATATTACACTTTGTGTGTGACTTGTGAATCCTGTAACAGGTCTCAAAAATAAAAATGGAAAACTGTTATAAATTGCTTATGTGCTGCTTGGATTTAAGTTAGAATAAACTGGAAAAATAAGGTTTCTCCTTTTGGTAGCTCCTTAGAGAAATGTGGAAAATGTCTTAATATACAGCCTTTCCCAGCATATGTTTTTCCTTCTTCTCTGAGTCTAGTAGTTCAGCTTAGAAACTAGCAGAATCTTCTTTGTCAGTTGAGGTTGTATATGCTTCATAGGTAAACACTTCTCTCTGCCGTTAGATGCAGAGATCACTTAGGGCCCCTGCAATGTCTGTCGAGGGCCCATAGAATTGTGCTGTTAATTATCATATTTTAGTAGAATGAGGGCAAAATCATAAACAGATATTTGGAAAATTATAACTGTGGCATTATTAAAACTAACCTAACATGTATATTTTTAGCAAATCAGGTGAATCTGACCTTTGGGTGTCAGAATACTGTAGAGTGTTTTTTTTTAATAATTCAGAATTAGAATGAATTACATTACATAGAAAATATACATTGTGCAGTTGTCTTTTGAACATACCACTTCTGTACTTTAGATAGGCTTTATATACTCTTTTCATCTGGGAAAACTGCAAAGCTTACTTAGCTAGATATTTTTTCCATGACAAAGTTTCTTTTTCCTGTGGCATTGAGTTTTGGATGAAGAGAGTATTAAAGTGCTAAAGTCTAAGAAATGTTACACCATTTGAGACTTCAGGGTTTTATCTGTTTAATGTTTGTCAAAGTAAAGATGTGTTTTTGTTTTGAAGAGAAAAGCACCACTTTTGGTTTCTGTAGAAAAAGGCATAATTAATTGTACCTTTTCTGTTTCAGTTCTGGCTTTATGTGAAACGGAAGAAAACCAGAGGAAACTATTCACTATTTTCTATGAGGAAATTTGAATATCCCCTCTACTTTCTTTAGGCAAGCTAACTCAAAAACTAACCACTGTTTCAAATGAAAATTATATTAAAATGTGTAATCAGCACTGCATATTGTACCATTGGTTGCTGTTGTATTAATATATTTAAGTGGACATTTCTTTTAAGCAGCTTTTGATATGCACTAAAAAAATTTAAACTGTATTTCCGGCCGAATTGCACTCCCTTCAAGTGCTTACCGAAGATCACTGCAAGTGAAACTGATAGTACAGAATAGTTCAGTGTATATACATAGTGACTGTTTTAAAGCAGTGGAGCCTTTTTAACTATGTTAACTATTAACTATAACTTTTCTCTTTTGAAACATTTGTTGAACTGTATAAAAAAATGTAAAGCCGTTAAAATGACCACTTCAATTTCTGAAAATGTTTTTATACATGCACTTTTTTGGTGATGATGTTCAGCTTTTGAATTCCAATGGATCATGTTGCCTTTGCCACTAGAGTATGCATGCAAGCAAGAACGTCACTTATATATATAGAGAGAGAGAACTAATTTGGTCAAAAGCTATCTTCAGTTTTAAGATGTCTCCCACATGTCATCCTTTGTGTGGAAACAGATTTTAAAAATAAATAAAATAAACCTGGATTTCTTTAATGGGAACGAAAGTCATTTATAGTACGATCAATCATGTTCCTTAAAAGTGAAACATTTCTTCAGTTTTAGTGCTTTGCTGACTAAAAACAGAGTACTGTATCAAGTTGCCTAAGGTGGTATAAATTCTTTCCAAACTTGGCTTGCTTGTTTAGAAGGAAGTGTCACTGTGTTTAGTGGGATCCACTTCCTGTATATTCTATGTACTATATAGAAAACTTTGTTAGATGCTTCCAGGCGGTTCTGAACCTTTGGCCTTCTAGATCTTTTGGAGTGAAGTTTTCAGATGTCCCAGCCAACATGGCCAGTGTTCAGAAATTCTGCGAGTTGATGTCCAGAATCTCTGGAGGTCAAAAGCTGAGAACTAGTATAACTCACTGTGTAAGATTCTAGTCCTATGCATATTTCCCAGAGTGTATGATCTGTGGAAACCAGATGAACTATGTCTCTGCATAAGATTGTATTCCTAACTAAAACTATAATGCAATATTAAAGTTGTCATACTCTTGGAGCATCTAATAGTTGCTAATTTTATACTAGTTTATACTTACTAATAAGCAATAGAAGTTGTATGTGTAATCCTCACACGCTTTTTACAAAAATATTTAAAGAAATGCATACATAACAAATAAAAATGTATTTGGTTACATATTTAGTAATTATTGGTGCTGCTATAATATCATTGCATTATTTCAGTTTTCTGTACAAATAGAGCTTAGCAAACTGGCCAATCCAGTCACACTGCATTGCAAAATAGGTGTGTGCTGACAGTATTAGTTTACCACTAAAATTATAAGCACATATATGTAACAAGTAGTAAGATGGGCTGGAAAGGACTGTGTTTTTTGCTAAATACTACCACTGTCTCTTGGGAAACAAAGTAAGTGCTGATGCTCTTAATTTTTGGACTTCATGTTCTCTTGTATTATATACATTTTTTCCTCAGAAATTTCTGTGAAATGACAATATTTGTAGTTTAAATGCTTCCTACATGAGATGCTACACTGTTGCTGCTTCTATAAGAAATTCTTAATCCTGCCTATTATCTGCTTTAAGCCTCTTTACATATGATCTGCCAATGCTTGCTTTATGTTGTATGCTTTCTTAAATTGTAGTTGGCAGGTCCTAGATTAGCCCTGGATAATATAGTACACATCCCTATTCAGTCCATAGGAAGTATCAGGAGAGGGTTTTGAAAGAACACCACAGGTAGCAGTGACTAATAACATCATAATGTTAGGACAGGAGGTAAGCATGTCTTCCACAAGGACTACGTCTTTGTGGATTTGTTTTAGTCAGGAGTAGACCTTTGTCATAAGTCATCTGCACAGCAGCAGATGTTCCCTTCCCCCCACTCCCCTTGCTGACCACCACTCGCCAGCTGGCGCAAGTTGCTCCTTCCCTCCCAGCTGCATGATCTTCCAGTCTGGGCAAGAGCCCGGACTTCCCTTCTCCTCCACCTCTAGCAGCTGGCCACTCAAAGGCAGTGACCAGCTGACGCAAGTTGCTCCTTCCCTCCCAGCTACATGATCTTCCAGTCTGGGCAAGAGCCTGGACTTCCCTTCTCCACCTCCTCTAGCAGCTGGCCACTCAAAGGCAGTGCTGCAGGAATCTCCCCTGCCTTCTTGTCTGAGTAGCCAGCTGCTGGAGGAAGCAGAGAAGGGAAGTCCGGGCTCCTGTCCAGATTTGGAAGATCGTGTGACGGGGAGGGAAGGAGAAACGTGCTCTGGCTGGTGAGTGCAGGTGTGAGTGTGAGAGTGGAGGAAGGGAACACGCGGCTAATTGGTACCGCACAGATGACTTGTGATGAAGGCACCTCTAGTCAGGAGCTGGTTATGAAGAACAGTAGAACTAATTCCTTGTACATTCAGAGGGCTTCCATCTAGTTTTTCCTAGGCAGAGGTCCCCCATGTTGCATGGGAAGTTATTTTGTATTTAAGGAAATGTGTAAAATCTGATTGTGGTATAGTGTGGGTTCTGAAGTGCAGTGGAAAATTAACTTCTCACTCATTGATTGGGTTTTATGCAAGCAAACTTGATTAAGTCAGGTACCTCAGTCTGTGAATCCACAGAGTTACTATAAAGACTGACATTCAAAAACATGCTTTGAATGATGTCTGGTACTTCTGTATGAACTAATGAGAAGGTAGTTACTCTGTTTTCTCTCTTGATAAATTATAAAAACCAACACTGCAAATTGAGAGCAACACAAAGAGACAGTTTTGCTAGCTACCACTGTGGCCTTTTCAAGAGTTTTGGAAAGGAAAAGAGATATAAATTATAAGTTTTCTTGGGAAATAGTGGCTTTTATTTTTGCAGGATAGAATAGAAGAGGCAGTTGTTGGAGATACAGATACACTTTTGAGTACAGCCAAATAACTTTATGTAGATTAGAGTCATAGGTGTAACATTGGGAAACGCTGGATTTTTATTCCAGATATTTGTTCGCTGGTGAGAAAAGGTGTGAAATAAGCTAATTGCAGAGAAGGCTATGGTGTCCATTGCAGAAACTTGTTAATGAGTTCTGCTTGAGGTTGCTGAGACCTCAATTCATAAAATAATTGCCAGTGGGGACCGATGGGGTGGTGAATCCGCTTTGGTTTTTATACCAGACTTTGCAGGAGCGATCCAACCTGCTGAACTCTATCCCTCTTGGGGAGTTCCAACAACATTTTGCTTGGTTTTTGCGATCTCTTGTCTTCCACAGATTAAAGATTTTTAATGAACCATTTGAGCTTCTGTTGTGCTTTGCTCATGAGCCCTGTCAAATTTTCCTATTGTAGCCTCTGTAACAGAATAACTTTACTGTCACTAGTTCTACAGAAGAAGGCTTCTGCTGCAAGTTAGGCATTGCCTTGGAAAGATTGCTAAGAAGAGTGCATTCTCTGCAGGTTTGTGGCTTTTACTTTTTTGAGGGGGGGGAGAGCTTTTCAGTGATACCCAGCACCTATTCTGCCTCAGACCAGAGTTTAAAGTGGGGAGCTAGACTGCTGGTATAGCAATGATGAGGGTGACTGCTGACACAGGCACATGCTGGCCAGAATCCTATCAGTTATTTGCACTGACATAAGATTGGTGGAATGCGACAAGGAATACAAGTGGTATCTCCTTAAACTAGGAGCAATTTGCCACTGTTATATAAGCCATTGCACTTATGCCAGTATAAATAGCTGATAGGATTCTGGGCATTGTGTGCTGCACTAATATTTTGCCCAGCTACATTTGTTCAGTGAGCTGTATTACATGCCTTCAGTAGTCAATTTTCAATTAATATTTAACAGGGAGATACTAAACTGTCTTAGAATATTGTTTTCAAAGTGGATGGGGGTTTTGTTCATGTCTCTTGCTCTTCTATTTACAAGTCTTCACACACTAAGAAATAACTATACATAGTATCCACCAGCAGATGCTGCTCAATAGCCATTGTCTCATAGCTTCCTGTGGCACAGTCAGAATAAACTAGAAATCGAATACACTATATGATTATTTTAATTAAACAGATATATTTACTTATGTTATGTATAAATGTAAATGTCAAAATATGTTGCATCCTGTGGTCTGGAAAATATTTTATTGAGCAAAAAAACAAAACAAAAAAACATTTAAGCCCATCCTCAGGTTCAGTACATGGTTGTTAGTCTGGTAATGGAGGAACAAAACTGTGGGAGACGCCTATGACAAGGACCCGCTGGGTTTTGAATGCGAAGGATCATTTTTCAGATTCCCAAAATGACTAAAAATAAAAACCCAGATTGTAGATGGACATCTGCCTGACACTCTGGAATGTAGTCTCCATGTGAAGTATGTACCAGTTAAAGGTATGACCTGCCGTCCCTCGTCTTGTACTTAAGGTAGCGGATAAGTTATAAACACACAATTAATTAAAAATAAAATGTCTATGAAAAGTATAAAAAGCCTAGATGGAGCCACAAAAGAAGGCATGCCACCCACTGCCATTCCAACCAAGCAGCCCCCAGCTTTTGGTGGAAGATGAAAGAGCCAAAAGCAAGCACCTTCCGGTGATGTATAAAAGATTCTGGGCACAGAGCTTTAAAGTACGTACACCAGAGGGAGGCACATGAAGAAGCTGGCATCTTTACCTCTTTTCTCCAGCAGTTGGCAGCAGCTATTACATCAAGCTCTAGCAGACAGAAGGAAAGGTAAATGGATTGCTCTGTTGGTTCTGTGGAAAAAAAAGGCTCCATCTCCTATCTCAATCTATTTATCTTTGTCTTTTTGTTGATAGGCGTGGGGCATGGCTTATGTTACTCTTGGTCTTTGTAAACTCCTTTGGGAGTGTGGAAGTGCAGAGTTAACAGTTATAAGTTAAATAAGGCATAGTAACTGGATTGGCTTGCTGGGTAGCTCAGTGATTTCACTATTTGGCTGTGGAGCCAGAGGTTGGACATTCAATTCCCCACTGTGCTTCCTGAAAGAAGAGCCAGCCTCTCCAACCATGGGCAAGTGGCACAGTCCCAGGTCAATCCCAGAAGAAAGGGATAGCAAACAACAACTGAGTACCATCTACCTAGAAAACACTCGAAAGCGTTGCCATAATTTGGAATCAACTTGAGGGTACACACAAACAACTGGATTGGGTCTTTCCCAGTACTGTACCCTGCTTTCAGTAGTATATCTGTTTATATGTGTATCTTGGCATATTGCTCATGTGGACTGAAGAGTGAATTTCTCTGAGAGCTGTATAGGGCTAATGGCCATCTGGATGTCCTGTGCACATCAGATATCTGCACTTCATTGAGCTGAAGAGATCCATAGGCAGAACCCCATTTTCCTTTGTAGATTTTCTTGGTTAGCTCAGAATGTCTACTTCAGAGGTTCCCAATCTTGGGTCCCCAGATGTTCTTGGACTACAACTCCCAGAAATCCTGG